TTGCGTGTGTTTTTATGAATAGGCTGATTTACAACACCATGTACAATTCTAGTACATACAGATGTTTATGTTACACATTACATTATTGTTACTATGTAATCATGTAATGATATGTAATTGAACATTAAGAATGATATAAAAATAGCTTTATTTGCTATTTATATTACTGATTTGGTTATAGATGATAAATTTCAATGTCCTTTGTACTTCAATTAACTTATATATATATATGTATATACATAAATCAAAAGAAATCTATACATAGATATAAATTAATGGGTAGAATAAAATTAGAAACATTATTATGATGTATTGGTAACCAAGAGACCAAGTGAATAATATTCATATATTAAACAAAGATGGATAGTAGCAAGAAGTGGAATCCAGTTTGATGTTTATTTTGTTCTATTTAGGAACTTATCAATTGGATGTACTTGTATCTTAAAGTTGATATTCACTCTGAGACTTGAACTGAATATCGTTCACTTCACAAACATCATTGCGTTATTCACTTAGTTACTGTGTCATGATAGCCACCTACTTGTGAAATGGGGTGAAGTTTTAAGTTTATTTGGTGTTAGAAAGATACTAGTAAATAACATCAAGTGAATTTATTCATAAACTACTTTATAAAAAATAAAATGGTATATTGTCTCAACAACAAAAATATATGATTTATAAAAATAGTGACAGTTGATATTCACTAAATAGAATCTATTTTTGGTGACGACCGTCGATCGACGCCGAAGTGACCTTGAGAGTGTCCATCTTATAACTAGGAGTAACTAATGGTTATAAACCAGTGTGAGGAATTAAAATTATGATTTACAGTTGATGGTTAAGATTAGTGATAAGTCTTGCTAATTAAACACTATATTCGATTCCTAAGGTATTCTCGTAACCCCCAAGCTAGAACTACACAATGATTGGAACACAAGATGAAAGGCGCAAACTATGCGAGAGGCATTTTACTCCAAAGATTTGTTCTACTACAGAAACCATAGGGTTTTTATGGAATTTTAGACGTCCTTCGGTTTTCTTGAAAATTCTGAAATCCTACTAAACATAGTACCAGTATAGTAATCAGCTAATCAGAAACTCTACATCTGATTTTTCACTTTCTTGATGTTTCTGGATAAACTTTTAGTGAACGCTGATTGAATAAAATGCTTCTTGGTGTTTCCTTAGACTTTCTTGTCTTTTGCGAGAAGTTTTCTGAATCAACCTAACAGTAAAGAATTAGATTTAGGGTTCTCATCACAAACTGACATCAGTTATAATGCCAGAACTCTATTTAACGAAATTGATGAGCGAATTCCTCGCCAAAATCCGAGACCTGTTATCTTATATGTGATTGGTTTGTCCATAGATTATAGTCTCACCACTTCACTCGTTTATCCTTCGTTTTATTTCATTCATTTAAAATTTGTCTACTAGATTATCGTTCTATTTTCATTTTAACAATATGAAGCATAAGTGTAATGACAATCAGATCGCTGTTCACTCATATATGATTGCAACTTCAACCAATTTACGGGGAATCACAAAGATTATGCGACGTTACTGTATACGACTGCTTCATTCTAAACGTGCATGGGCTCCACAAGTCACGACTTTCTACTAGATATTCAAGAATTCATCTTAAATCTTGCTTCTAATGAACAGAATAGTATAGTTTATCGGTATAGCTAAATGTACAGAGATTTTTAGATTTTGTAGTTTATAACACGGGATGACTGAATTAAACGATCATTGAAAATCAGGAAGCATAGATATTTATTAACATAAAACATCATGGTAATTCTCCTACAGTGAATCTGGATTATGGTTAAATTTTTGTTAGCCCTTTAATTAACTTACTTAACAGATAATGTTATCCGGACATTAACAATTAGTCTATTTCTTTGCACTATTAAGATCACTATCATGTCTGTATAAACATGTACACTTGGTCCCATGTGACAGCCTACGTACATATCTTTCTTTAGCTTAACTGTCAATAGCTTAAATATCACTCGATGATTCATTATCTTCCCCGATGTATATTATTAGTTCTTGCTTTGCCTTACTGTTCCCTTATTCGATTTGGCTATAAATTTACCTATTTATTTGCTCGTATACATACATTCGCCTCTCTACTTCAAATTCGATCGATGTGCTTATAGCTGTGTGATCTGTACTGTAGTTGTCGATTCTCATTGACTTCTGATTTCAAACACCTTTGAGGTTTATATGAGAACGATTATCAAAGTGACTGAGTAACGAAATAAAGCCACTACAACTTAAGAACTCTTTTAGCTTCACCATTTCATTTTTTTGGAGGACAAACTCAAAGGTATGGGAAAAATCCCAGGATAAGTGTGTTTTATTAACATTCTATTTTGATTTCTAAAGATACTTGAAATTTTTCAAAACTATCGTATGCAACAGAAGCGGCTATGTGGAGGTGGTAGTAATTCCAATAGTTGAGATCATCAGTCAATTGAAGCTAGATCACCATGGGAAACCTGCAAGCACTTGACGGCCGTTTCGTCTTAGTGTGGGACTACTCAGCAGTGTGCATCCACAATCCCGGCTCGCGATATTCTAACCTAGGACATATTGGTCTCGCTTGCGAGCGCTTAAACCCTAGACCACTGAGCATGTCTAACTTCAACCAATCCACGGAATTGAGCGACACATCCACGACTGTCATCAGTGAGTTCCTAACTCACAACAGACCCGGTTGAACTCCACTGGTCACTGCTTCTCAGTAGGACTTCAGGATATACATCTTGAAGCCAATCATTAGTGAGCATATTTTGATTGGTATCAGAAGGGGTTTTGTGGAGATTGTAATAATTTCATAACCATCATATGCTTCAATTATGATGAATTTTAGTCACCGAATTAAGTACTGACCAGTTAATCCATTGTTCAAATTATTTAAATCGTTTTTACTACTATTGTTAAATGAATTCTGACTAGTATTAGTCAGCACGTGTGCATCTTGTGCTGACTGCCTTAATCTAACTGCATTATCACAAATTTTTAGAGAACAGATGGATTGCGAATAGCAGTAGAATGCATATCCACATTATGTATTATCTGAGATACCTCAAACACTTATAAATTAGATTAAATTAATACCCGTTACTCATCGGATCAAGAGATACGGCGTTGACAACTGAAGCAAAAGGTATTGAGTTCAAGTTCTTGCATGAATATCAACCCTGGATTGCAGATACCTTCAGCTGATGAATCTTATATAGGACGAGAACCTCAACCCAGATTTAATTACTAACTATAATCTATCTATTCTATTAAACTAGCCAATTTAGAAGTAACTGGATTTTGAAGAAAAAAATGTTTCGACCTATCAATCTGTTAATAAGTCAATACTGCATTTTAATATTTAAAAGAAATATATTCAGTTATAACTTGAGGGTTTGTGCCCTGTGTCCTATTAATGTATAACATGATGATAACGCCAAATAGAGAACAGTGATTTATCGATCGGACCAACGACACATAAAACACGTACGAGCAGTCTAGAGTCCTATCGGTCCTTCTTACCGCCTAGTCCAGCCAGTTAAGTCCAGAACACCAATCTCATCCTCTGCAATATGAATCCTTATATTTCAAACATACTCGGTTTATATACCAACCAAACAGACTACATCATAGCATAAAATAGGAAACAATATTTGTACAAGAATTAGTCAAATGTGGCTGTGAATATGGCAGGTAGTAATGAATAGTCTGGGCATAACTCAAGAATGGTAAATCGTATAATAATAGTTCATAGGTCAAAATAAAGCTAATGATAAAGAGAACACAAATATGAATGGTTTAGTTATTTAGGAATTACATGATTAAAGTATACGTATAGTAGCAGTTTCATTGTCCCAAAACTCTCTCCATTTTTAATACAAATCTTGAATTGAAAACATCTGTAGTTACTTCTTTAAAGTCAGTTGGATTACTTACTATTGTGTTTCTGTAAATTTAAACATACTTTATAAAATCACGCAAAAGTTTCTTAACTAAGAACTCTATCGATTATGTTGTATCTAAGGCTCCTTATTTTTTATTGATTAGCTACTCTTTTATTACTTTTTTCTACTAGCACGTTATTATTTCAATACTAGATTACGTAACACGAATAATAACAATAGACATAATAAATTAGTAACGAATTATAACGTGAATGTAGTAAGGTACATTGGCCATAGCTAGCGATTGCTGTCAATTTGGATACGGGAATACGTTCGAGTTTGGTTCTACAAAAGTGAGAGGATAGCAGTTAGGAGTTCTATACATGAACACCTATTCAACTGTAATCATTCTACGGACCCACGGTTTGATTTTAAGGTTGTATATATGATTCATTCAAATCTACCTAGATTCCTTGCTATCCAACTCCTAGAAAAAATAGCCGAGGCTCTTATCGTATATGAGCTCAAGCCAGAACTATGCGTACAAAAGCAGTAAGTCCTATCGTTATCGTTACCTTGACCTTAATTATTATCATTGTTACTTCATTTATCCCTTCACTTATGTCTCTTATTCTCATTGTCTTATTTATGAAATCGCATGATATCATATTACTTATTCTTTCCACCTCTATGACCTGTAATTATTGTAACAAAAACATTTTAATTTCAATGGTTGAGATCATGAGACCACTATGGAAAACCTGAAAGCAATGAACGATCGTTTCATCCTACTATGAGACTCCTCAGCAGTGCGCATCCACGACCTCGCCTCACAAGATTCGAACATAGGACCTGTTAGTCTCGCGTGAGAGCACTTATCCACTAAACCATTAGTCATCTTATTACATTCACGTTATAATTCGTTACTAACTTATTAAGTCTATTGTTATTATTATTCGTATTACATAATCTAGTATTATAATCTTTCTATTAGATCATCTTAGTTATTCCTTGTTTACATTTCTTCATAGGACTAATACCTTACTGATAATGATTTTGTTCACTATTATTTTCATTTCAAAGGTTCTACCTCTAACAAAATCATTAAATGGACAAGAAGATCTTAAAGAATATTTAAAACTTTTATATTCTAATCAAATGAATTCAACTACAGTAAACTTAACATCAACTTCATATGTTAATATGAAGAATTCTAATACAATGGAACTGCTAACTAATCTTTTACTTTATACAAATATATCGCAAAAAGTAAGTGAATGATAAATTATTTTTTTAAATTTTTGATGAGACTATCATTTTATGAATGAACCAATCAGGTAAAAGATAATTGGCCTTGGGTTTTGGCGCGAAATTCACTTATCAATTTGGTTAAATAGCGTTTTTAGCATTATAACTGATGCCAGTTCATGAAGGACACTCTAAATTTAATTCCTTGTCCTTTTCTTAGTTTTAATATTGACAGTATAAAGTAACAGTACTATTATTTCTCTTTATTGTAATTTATGCTTCATTGGTGAGAATATAATTTATAGACGAACATCGAGCGATGCTAGACTAACCGTGAGAGTGTCCACCTAATAACTAGGATCAAATAAGTGTTATAAACCAGTGTAAGGAAATAGGATTATGATCTGCAGTTGATGGTTAAGGTTAGGAATTAGATTTAGGATTTTCATCATGAAGTGATATCAACAATAATGCCAAGAATCTATTTATCCAAATGGTTGAGTGAATTTATCGCCAAAATCCGAGACCTGCTATCTTATATCTAATTGGTTCGTCTATAAATTATAATCTCGTCGATCCATTCCATGACATTTTTCCTTTATTCTTAATCATACATTGATGTCTCTTATCTTATATGACATTCTTATTAGTAATTAGTATTGTCATTATTATTATCAATGGTATTGGGGTGTGTACAACTGATGTAGTGTGTATCATCAATCGAAAATGAAATGTCTGGCAGCAGAAGGTTGAGAAGATCAAAGAAAAAAGAACGAAAACAAAGAATGATTGGTGTAGAATTGAAAGAACACTGAACTCTGAGATGATTGATTGACATTTTGCAAATATAGTATTTACTGTATGGTTCTCAGATTATAATAAAACGTTCTGTTATATTGTGTTCACATACATTCGATTGTCTCCCACTTGAGTTCTCATTCACTACGGTATTATTATTACAACGACTACCGAACAATATTTATTGTCATTATTTTGGCCGTAGTAATAATCTATTTCATTAGTATATATATAACACTGGACGGCCATTTCTTCCTATCGGATGCCGGCTCAGTGGTCTAGTGGTTAAGCGCTCGCACGCGAAACTCATAGGTGCTGGGTTCGAACCCCACGAGGTGGGGTCGTGGATGCGCACTGCTGAGGAGTCCCACACTAAGACGAAACGGCCGTCAAGTGCTTGCAGGTTTCCCATGGTGATCTAGCTTCAATTGACTCATGATCTCAAATATTGAAATATACAAAAGCGTTTTAGATTTAACTCGATGAAAATAAAATTGAATAATTAATGATGAAAAATATCTAAAAGTATTTTGATGGAGTTTCGTTCTCTAAGCAGAATCTTCATCGTCTTACTTACCTAGATAATGACTTCTGTTACTCTCCATGGAGGAGTATAAACCGCCTAAATGATCGTTTCTTTAGTGATTTACCAATGTTTATCTCTTATTTGAATATATTTTCTTTATTAGGATATCCTATTAAATTATCATCAATTACATAAAAGAGTAGCTCAATTGGAACGAATTAATTCTTTATTATGTTCAATTATATGTGATGGTGGATTCATTTCAATCTTAGATAAGAAACTATTAAACTATAATAATACTAATCATGAAACAAATTCAACATTCCATTCCCGTTTAAAGAATTTATCAAGGATGAATTATCATTCAGTAGAAAACTTATCTTTATATAATACTACTAATGAAACTACTGATAAACATAATACAATTTCATACAACAATATTAATACTACCACTACTACTACTGCTACTACTACTATTACTACTACTGCTGCTACTAATACCAATACTACTAATAATAATAATAATGACATTAAAACTAATGATTATGTACAGAATACTAGGGATAATTATCAGTTATCTTTATGGAATAAATGTACAGTTCAACACCGACCAACTATCAACCGACCAACAGTTCAACAACCGTTTGATTCTACAAATATGAATGTAAGTCAATTGTTTATTATTATTCAGTGTATCATTAAATGGATTAGTTTATTAATTTTTTCAATGACAATGAGATTTTAATTATTGTAAGTTTTCAATAGAATGTTACTGAATTGAATGAAAGATTCAATAGATGCCCAACTTCGAGATTAACGGTTTGGATTCTTTAAAGGATCGGTTGTGCACAGATCAAATCGTCACACTATGGATTGTTGTTAAACTTGTCATTATACATCAACTTCTTTGATTATGAGAAAGTAATTGACAGTTTGGATAGGAGAACATTATAGAAACTTTTTCCACACTATGTAGTGAGTAGCTGAGAATATCGTCAATATCATATGAAATCTTTACGAGGGACTACAATGCAAAGTCGTGCACGGAGAACAGCTGACAGATGCATTCCAAGTAATGATCAGAATCAGACAAAGCTGTTTATTCTCTCCCGTTCTCTTTCTTCTGTTCGTTGAATGGATTATAATTCACGGCTCCGAATCAACTAGACGATTTAGACTTAGTAGATTATCTGGCTTTTTTCTCCCATACACACGAACAAATGCAGATGAAGACACTTAGTATAGCATCAGCCTCTGCATCAGTAGGCTTCAACGTACAGAAGGGAAAAAGCAATATCCTGGAATACAACACGGAGAACACCAACGCAATCATACTTGATGGAGAAGCTCTGGAAGATGTGGAATCTTTCACATATCTGAGAAGCATCATCAATGAACGTGGAGGATGTGATGAAGATGTGAAGGCGAGGATTAGTAAAGCAAAGACCGCATTCCTACAGTTGAACAACATATGGAACTCAAAATCTTGAACTCATTATCTTTTATTTCAAAAGTCAACGCGTTATCTACTAACCTACTGGGTTCAGATGAACAAAAACTTTTTGATTGGGTTTTTGTTTATATAATTTCTTGTAAATATCCAAACTAATGAGTTCTGATTATTATGACTAGTCTTTTTCGTTATACGTATATTCTTTGAGGAATTCCTTGATAAAGCTATATCATCACATCTTTCAAAAACCGTGAACCTAACTTTTGTGGCAATTGGTATTCGTTATAAAGTCATATAATTATAAATGAGCCACAGTTTTTGTTCACATTATCTGCTTTGCTTGTTTACATGTTGCCGAATTCAAAACACTACATCAAAGTTATTCTGCAATGTGGCTTCATGTATTGTTTAGTAAATCTAAATAGATATTTTAGGCAAAACTGTTTCTCTTATTCAACTGATTAGAAAGAATGATAACGAAAGTTTAAGTTAGATTACTATAGTATTTCATGATTTACAAACTATGAACATTTAACTTCATAACAGACAGACTTTATTAATTTCATATCTTTTTTTTCGAATATCTAGTTACCTTTTAACCCCCAAATTCCCTGGTACGGCCGAGAGTGGGCAGAGTCAACTCTCCCTTTCGAAATGCTCTCACATGGCCACGTGCATACAACCACTGCCAGGGGATGCCTACTCAGTTTCTTTACAAAAATGAGAGGATGAAAAGCGAATGTTTGGCGCTTTAACTGGGTCGGTGGAAATTGAGGAAAACCCTAACTCCAAACTAATGGTGCACATGGGTTCCAGTATCCTAAGGGAATAAATAACATGGGATCGCATCTCCTTTAGGTCAAAGGTTCCGAGTGTAGCCCCCTGGAAAAAAACCCCCACCTGTTTCAGTTTGAGCACCCTAATAGTATCCCAACCCTCACACAAATCAAATAATTCATGTGACGTATATCTTCATTCTCATATCTATCTCTTATTGTATATCTTTTTTTGTTGTACAGATTTCACAATTCTATAAAGAACAACAATTGAATTCAATAAAATTCACCTGGATACAATCAAAATCTTTACCTAATTTAAAAATCAATTCAAAAATAACAAAAAAAACTTCTGTATGGAAAAATTCTTTTAAACTAATCACTCATTCATTATCTTTACTTCCTATCACAAATTATTCCATTCAACATTTTAATAAACAAACAAATTTGATAAATAATTTAAAAATATCACCTAGTTACCATGTAGTAACACAAATGATCGATCATAAAAATGATCCAACTTCTAATCAAATTAAATCTCATATCAATAAATTCAATCAATTATTATTATTATTATCTAAAGGATCGATACAATTACATGATCAATATCATAATCATAAATCAAATCATTCTATGAGATTAGAAACAAAAAGTTTACCATTATTATCATCAATTGATTATTGGAAAAATACATTGAAAACTTCTTTATCCAATCATATTCATTTTATACATTCATATTCATTATGTAATTTACATAGGAGTAATAATAGTCCATTGAATACTATCATGGAAGTCAATTCTTATCCATCAAATGATCATAAATTACTAATCAATCATATTAGTTCAGATCATAATAATCATAAAGAGGATCATAGTTTAAAAGCGAATCATTCTATTGAAAAGAAAATAAGTAGTTGTATTCAACAACCTAAAGTTTATATAACATCTAATCAAAGTATTGAATATTTATCAAATTCAAAACAAATTTTATGCAGGTTAGTTTTAGATCTATATGATTAAGATCATTGAAAACTTGAAAGTACTGAATGGTTGTTTTGTTCCTGTTTTGGAACTACTACTCGACAGTGAGCACTAGGATCCCACTCAGGACTTGTTACCGTTTAACCTCTACACTATTGAGCCGGAATCTAATAGTGTTAATGTCTAACTTGAACTGATCCATGAAATTGTGCGACCATCTTCCATTGTACTGAAGTAGATACCTGTTTTATAAGTGATATAGATTAGTTCCTTTAGTTACGGCTACTCACGAGAACTCAGAGCAATTAGTGAGTATATGACAATTATCAGTATAGGGTTGTGAAGATCATTAAAAAGATTATTTATTTATTAGATTTTGTACATTCGTTGGTTAACTAGACTAATCATATATAGAATTACTTAAATTTACTGTAGATTGATGAATCGCCAACTAGATTAACTGAGTGGTGTTGATATTGACAGGAATATCAATCTGTGGTGGTCGGTATTCAATGTAACCCTTAAGCTTCGCATAAAGTTAGTCTTGATAATCGTTATTGGATAATGCCTCAGTGGTGTATTATTCAGAACGCGAATATGGAGTGTTGATCTCGTTTAGTATTGCACTACACACAGATATCCAAATTTGCAAGTACGCTAATCAAGCATGAAAGAATAGTGCCGAAAAGCAAGAAGGCAAGCGAGTGAGCATGTGAGTCAAATAAGCGAGTCAATGAACAGGATTAAGATGTACACATATATACATAGTGAAATTAATGAATCATCGAATCAATTAAGCGACTAACATTAAAGCTAGCAGAATGAATATATATGCGTAGGTAGTGAGAAATGCTCAAGCATACATAGTCATACAAGTGCAACAATAATAAAGATAAAATGGTATAGTTAAGTTGTTATTATACGAATAACTCTGTCCGTATCCCAGCCCTTACACAAATTGAATGATATGTTCGAAGAGAACGGTACTGGGTTCGAGTCCCGGAGTGAACATCAAATCTCAGATGAAAATACACCAAGCTTACGAGTCACAAATAGGACGAAACGCCCGCCCTGGATCCTACTATTAGCCGCCATCCATCTTCGTTTAGAATACTTGTGAATTAAGGCAATATCGAGGCTATACGCACAGTATGCACATTTGCCAATGAGGGAAAGACTGATCAGTTGCAGTTCTGAATAACCATGGGAAGATACAAGTAAATAACATTGAGTGAATACAGATAAAATATGCCTAGTAATAAAAATCATAATCCACAGTTTGTTTTATCTAGTACTCGTTAGTTGAACATACCTGAGTTCGAGATTCCAATGTAAGCTGTATCCTATCTAATCCATATAAACAGACTTCTGTCTATATTGTGGTACTCCTCACCGGATTCACATTATACGAACTAAGATTGATCAAAATTTAGTCAAAATCTTATCAATGTGGTAATTTGAACTATTACAAACTAAAGGTTTAACAATAAGATAAAGAAAAACATGTATATGTATAGAATAGATGATTCGTGAAGATTCTATACTCATTGACTGAAGTTGTGAAAATGCTGACATAAAGATATCAACTCTAGTGATTCCAAGACAACACATTTCATGTGTCATCAATCTATCATTATTATGAATGATTAAATTGTCTTATATAATATATTTAAGTGATCGATCGAAAAATGAATCTAGTTTACTTTCGTAATTTGTCAATACGAACCCGACTACATGTTATGTAATAACGTATAGCATGAAATAAAATTACTTTTTACCATATTAGTTCTTTACTAACAAATTAGTCATTTGGTTAATAAGCTTACTTATGTCTGTGACCCCCACTGGAGCATAGGCCACCGACTAGCATTCTCCAACTCACTCTGTCCTGGGTCATTGTTTTTAGTTCTAACCAATTGTTGCTCATTCTTCTCATGTCTGTCTCCATTTTTCGAGGTAATTTCTTCTTTGGTCTTTCACTTCTCCTCCTTCGGCATTGAGGATTCCAAGTGATGGCTTTCCTTGTGATGCAGTTGAGTGTTTTCTTCTATATGTGTCCTATCCACTTCCAGCACTTCTTCCTGATTTCTTTCTCCGCTGTGACGCCGTTTGTTCTCTCTCATAGTAGGTTGTTGTTCATAGTGTTTTGCCAAGGGGTCCAAAGTATTTTGCGTAGACAACTGATAGTAAACACTTATATCTTCTGGATGATGGCTTTCGTAGTTCTCAAAGTTTCTGCCCCATACAGTAGAACTGTCTTGACATTTGTATTAAAAATCCTGACCTTGGTGTTGGTTGACAGTTGTTTTGAGTTCCAGATGTTCATCAATTGTAGATATGTTGCTCTTGTTTTACCGATTCGCGCCTTCACATCTTCACTTGCTTTAGTCAATGAAATAAATAAAGCATTAATTAAATCAAATAAAGTAAAAAATTAGTAATAATTATTTTATTAACCATTTAATATCCTTTATCTAAACCCCTACGCATTGCTGACTAGTGTAGGGGATGGTTGAAAAAAAGTTAGGGGCGGCCAAGTCAAAGACATGACATCAATGCTTCAAGTCACTAACTTCTAGTCTTAGTCATGTTGGTAGATACAGAATACTTGGTTGGAGTCCATGTGACTATCGTAACCAATGGTTGGAGTTTCTGAGTGGTATGATTTATAATTGATCACAATGGCGTCGGTGTATACACACTTTGTCTTTCTTTAAACTGTGAGGTTAAAATTGCTTTATATCTTTCTTTCTACGAACTAATTCTTTCTTCCTGTACTATATCCTTACATGCGATCTCTCTTTTATATATTACCACCATTGAATTAACTACTTCTATGAATTTGATGTTCATCTTGTTGTGTAAATGGTGTATGGTAACTTAGACCTATGCACATATGTACCTGGTCCTACGTTATAGCTAACTGACTGATCTAAACCCCTCCTTCTTAAGATAATTAAAACCAATCTAGTAAATCTACTTAATATTTAGCATAATACTAACCAATTAAGTTACAATGATCTACAAGTCATTTATTCAATGAATTATACTGCAAAACATGAATTACAATCGGTTAATTAATGTATTCGTTTATCACAATTATAATGAACCCTACATAAATGTCATATATAGATGATATAAAGAATTTTAAAGTGGTAATTAAGTTAGTTATAAACTAAGGAAAAGTAAACTGGAGAATAGAAACTTGTCACCAAGACTATCTTAGTAATAATCAACTAACTAAAACAAACTTAACCAATTAAAGGTTCATGTTCACTCTTTGGTACATTTAATATAGTAGGCGTCAGCTTTAATAATAATAATCATAATAATAACCCTCATTTTATCAACAAAAAAACGAAAGAATATTTCCGATGGCTTGTTAACTTACGCCTGTTAACCCCCATAGAGCATAGACTGCCGATCATCATTCTCCAACCTATTCTATCCTGAGCCTTCCTTTATAATTGTATCATTTTCAATGGCGAATGCATAAAAAGTTTTTTCCTTAATGTCAATCATAAATTATGTAGTAAGATTTTTAAAAACGAACACACACACACACACACTAAACAAAGAGATACTACTTACTTAGAAAAGAGAAATATGTTAACAAAGAAAAAAACAAAGAGTGAAATATAAGTCGTTCTTTTTTCATTCAAAATGGTAAACTTGTAAGTTACATTAAATTCATGATAAACAATGTAATTTTCTAATTTATAATGATGTAATGTAAATGATATAACAGTGAATGGCTTGATTTCAATTGATACTTCGATCATTATTTCGGATATTATTATCTAATCGTTGAAATCATGAATTGATTTAAGTTAGAACACCATGAAGAAACCTGAAATTATTTGGATGGCTATTTCATCCTAGTATGGGATTATCCAATAGTGAGCATCCGAGATTTCGCTAAAGGGATTCGAACTTAAGATCATCGATTTCACTGAAGACAATAGTGGATGTATCACTCAATTTCATGAGTTGGTTCAAGTCAAACAATAACACCGTTGGATTTCGACTGGCTCAGTGGTTTAAAAGTGAAGTGTTTGCGCGGAGAACCGAAGGTCCTGGTTTCGAATCATGCGAGAGGGATCGTAGGTGCATACCACTGAGGAGTCCTGATCTATGATAAGACGGCCGTCCAGTGCTTCCAGGTTTTATATGGTGGTCTAGATTTAATCGATTCATGTATTCAACTGTTAGATTACTAAGATCTATATACTAATATAAGTAACAAATATTAACACAGATATATCAGCGTTAGAAGTACACCGCATTATCCATGAGATGAGCGTGACTATGAGGAGTTTCTGAGTAGTGAGTTATGAGTCTAGTTACTTAATATCAACTCAAACTTTCCTTAAGCAAGTTAAGATATAAATTTCAACTTATAGAAAGTTGTACTTGAAAAAGCTTGTTCAAAAATGTGGTTTGACTCACAGAAAAAAAGAACGTCCTACCTTATAAATTAAATTTTTCCAAAGAAAATCATGTGAGGCTAGTCGAAATGTAACCATATCTCTATGTCAGAACCAATATCTTACCGTGATCAGATGGTGAGATACCTGGGTACCTTGAGAGTCATGGTTACATTCGCTAAAGTCTAGTTGATTTTCATGATAGTTTTCGATGAGAACTGACATCAGTTGGATTTCTGTTGAAAATTAAATTCAAACTACTGATCCCTACTTATGATCACAAAAAACTTCACATCTCGTAGAGAGTCCATTTTTACTATTAGTTATCAATGTAATAGTTCTCATGATTAAGATCCAGTTGCGATACACAAAGATCCGATGATGAATCTCTCAGTACTGATGAGGAGTATTATGCTACAACAAAATAGTTGTTTAGTACTCTGTGTCTTTTAACGGAAACTCGAATAAAATCAATCTGTGACTAACAAAATAAAATAATCCCTAAAAAAAACAATTCATCTATGATATACAAAGATGGATAGTATCTAGCAGTGGAATCCAGGACGCATGTTTCGTCCACTGCTAGCCACTATCCATCTTCTCTTATAAAACTTGTGATCTAAGGCAATATCGAGGTAGTCCGCACAGGATGCACATATGCCAACAAGAGACTGATCAATTGCAGTTCTAAACATCAATGGGAAGATAAAAGTAGGCAGAATCAGGGGAATTACTTTATGATATTTTAAGCGTTTTTCTTCATTGAAGCATAGTTTAAGGAGCTTACACTGATTTTGTAAATTAAGTGTATGATAATAATTGTACATAATCTATAAATAACCAAAACTTGAACCGTCTCCATGGTAACATCAATGAACGTATGGTTTGTTCCTTTTCATTTCTCAGTGTATCATATATGAAGTAACTATCGAAATTTACTTAAAGTTTATTGAGGAACACTAATTAGAACTTAACAAGCTTGAGTTACTTAAAATCCATACGGTAATCATAAAATTAATAATAATGGCCTTATTCCATATCATAGTCCTGGTACAATATAGAGTTCTCAGCTCAAAGTATTACAACAAGTTTCCCATTTCTTACTTGTTGGTCGATCCTGACGATAAATATTGAGTGATCACCAGTTAGAATTTAGCAGTCCATTCAATCGATATCTAAATAATATACATTCTTTTCGTTGCATACTGCCAGCAACAACGATGTCTCTAATTAGGCTCTTCTGACGATAAATACTGAGTGATCACAAATTAGATGGTAGCAGTTCAAGAATTGACATCTGGTTACTGTGTATTCTTTTCGATATACATTGCCAGTAACTTCAATATCTCTAATTGGATACTTTTGTAACTAGTACAACGAAAGATTGTACACTTTTCACAAATGCACCTAAATAGGTTATGTGATCAAGTAATAGTCATAATGATCTATTAAAACAAGCAATAAAACAAATAACTTGTTGAAATATCCAGATAGTAGGAATAGGTAGCTCAGATATTCAAGCAGGTTGCCAATGTAAGGTCATTAATGTAAATTTTGAAGAAAAAATAATATACCATGGTGATTAATCAGATCCAACTAGGTAAACAACAAGTTCGTATAAAGATCATGAACCGATTGATGTTAGAGCACCTTTGGAAACCTGGAAGCACTGGACGGCCGTTTCGTTCTATTGCTGAACTCCTCAGCAGTGCGCGTCCACGATCCCGCGAGCGGGATTCGAGCCCAGATCTTTCGGCCTCGCGCGCGAACGCTTAATCTACTGGACCACTGAGCCGGCATTCAATGGTGATAGTGTCTAACATCAACTAAGCCACGAAATTGCGCGACCAACTTTTATTGTACTGAGGTAGATACCTGTCTCTACCCGACATGGATTAGCTCCACTGGTCACGGCTTCTCACTAGAACTCCCAGAATTCCCTCACGAAGCTAGTCACTAGTGAGCACATGTTGAATAATCTCCACAACCACTATACTAGTAAGTTCGTATAAACTTGTCACTAATTGGTCAATTCTGTTAAATGCGGTCCAACTGATTGAATACGAAATTTTTTAGTAGTTAGCTTAATGAAATAATCTCTAATCTTATAGGTAATAATTCCACAATTCTTGTTGGTTAATAGAATATGATGATGTTCATAGTTTAATACAATGTTGATTAACTGAACGGGTTATGTGTATTAATATAAACAACATACAATTTGGCATAATCTGTTTATGGTCTAAGTTTCCATACTATACACCTAATGTATAAGATAAAGTAAAGGGGTAAATAATAAAAATCCACCTCCCCCCCAACTTTATATTATCAAAATAAGCCTATCAACTATATTGATTGTTGATTACCTATTGATAATTTATGGATAGACAAAATGTTGTTTTCATATTATTATCTAGTAAATAAAAATTGTACCATTATGTCCCCCCCCCAAATGTCTGATATGCCAGATATTTTAAAAACATTGACTTATTAGTCTATCATCCGGTTGAAACAAATAAATATTTCATAGGTGAATTTGTGAGTCAATTGAAGCTAGACTACCATGAAAAACCTGGAATCACTGGACGGATGTTTCGACACAGTATGGGACTCCTCAGCAGTGTGTAACCACTATAAAAATACCAAAATCTCCACAAAATCCCTTCTGATAATCATCATCGTATGATCACTAGTGACTGGTTTCAAGACGCATATTCTGGAGTTCCGGTGAGAAACGGTGACCAATGGAGTTCAACCAGGTGTATTGTGAGATAGTAACTCACTGAAAACAATGGTGGATGTGTTGCGTAATTTCATGGATTAGTTGAAGTTAGATATTAACACCGTTGGATATCGGCTTGCTCAGTGGTCTAGTGGTTAAGCGCTAGCGCGCGAGACTGATAAGTGCTGGGTTCGAATCTCGCGAGGCAGGGTCATGGATGCGCACTGCTGAGGAATGCCAAGCTAGGTTGAAAAAGCCGTTTATTGCTTCCAGGATTTCCATAGTCTTCGAGTTTCAACTGACCCATGGTCTTAACTATTAAATTTAATATAATATCCATAAAACCCTTCCGATATTAATAATTTTAAGCGCTTTTTCATACCTCTAGACACTAATATATCAGAGCTCTACTTATATTAAAAGGATTCTTACTGAATTCTTAACGCATGCTGAATTTTTAGTGGCCATGTATCTGACTTCAGTTGAATCATTATTGTTCGATGTATCGCGTGCAGTTGCTACCTCAATTCGAGTTGTTAGACAAGCCTATTGCTCACACGGATTTCTTAGATGAGATTCTTGTTTATTAATATCAACATCTAATACTGTCAACTGACGACTTATTTCTTCGCTTTTACGATGAAGCTCTGCATCTTGGGTAAACACTAGATGAGATTCATCATGAGCAGGAGATATAACTTCAACTTGTGGTTGACAAGCCGGTTCTTTAGTCTGCTATCGAAGTAGATTAGGAAGATTAGATTGCCCCATCACATGATATTAAGAAACTGGTTGTAGTAAAAGATGATTTGACTAGTGGAAACTGCTTTGATTAGGATGTGTAGTAGCAGGTAGGTGATGAAGATGGTCAGAAACCAGGTGAGAAGAGATTTAGAAGACTGATGTTAGATTCGATGCTTTCATTGGCATATATGACAATGAAGACTGACTAGTTACAGTTTGTGACCTCAAGACAGGTGCGCTAACTAGGGCTTAACATAGTAACCGACATGTATAGCAGCTCACATGCAATTGATTTGTTCACATCTAATTTGGTTAATCCCTTTTGTTAACTTATTTAACGGATAAAGTAATTCGTACAACAACTTATCTATACCATAGTACCTTTATTATTGTTGCACTTGTATGAATATGTATGCTTGAGCATTGCTTACTACCTACTCATATATATTCATTCTTGTAGCTTTAATGTTAGCCGCTTGATTGATTCGATGATTCACTCATTTCACTATGTATATATATGTACATTTTAATCCTGTTCATTGATTCATTGACTCGCTCATTTGACTCGCACGTTCACTCGCTTGCTTTTCGGCCCTATCCTTTGATATTTGCTTACTGTACCTGTAATTTTGGTAATCTGTGCATGGTACAATATTAAACTTAATCAACAATTTGTACACGTCTTCTGATTTATTCACCGTTGGGGACATTATCTAGTAACGGTTATCAGGACGAACAGTATACGAAGTGTAAAGATTATGTTGAATACCGACCATTACACGCTACAAATTCAAATTAACTTATCATTTTAAATTTAGCTAATACAATCATTTGAGGAATATTCTGTGTTTGAATGGATTATTGTTCTCTGAGCTGGATGGTTTAGCCGTGGAGCTTTCATCGCTCTTCTGAACGACGTCATTACCACAAACATAAGATCAAAAATCAAACCAATAGGTGATACAACCAAAACAAAGAAGTAAACAATAACAGATTTCAGTTCAGCAAGAACTAATCAAAATCAAGGTGTACAAGACAACGAGTGAACCACATGTAGAGAAATTTGAACATTTCACTTGTACCTGAATTTTTATACTGATGATGTTGTTCAGAAGAATGATGAAAACTCCACGACTAAACCACCTAGCTCATAGAAGAAAACTCGATCAAAATCATTCATCTAATTTTGGTAAGCAATGATGGATAGTGGCTAGCAGTGGAATCCAGTTTGACGTGAGTTTCGTCCTATTTGGGACTCGTCGGCTAGATGTACCTGCGTCTTAGGGTTGATGTTCACTCTAGGACTCGAACCCAGTACCATTCGCTTCAAACGCCATCCCGTTATCCACTCAGCCAATGAGTCCTGATAGCCACTTACTTGCGCAATGGGGTTCACTTTAATTCACTTGGTATTGTTTGCCTTGTATCTTCCCATTGAGGTTTAAGACTGCAATTGATCAGTCCGTTATTGGCATATGTGCATACTGTACGTATGCCTCGATATTGCCCTAATTCACAAGTTTTTTGTAAGCAATGATGAATAGTGGCTAGCAGTGGAATCCAGTTTGACGCGAGTTTCGTCCTATTTGGGACTCGTCAGCTGGATGTACATGCATCTCATAGAGTTGATGTTCATTCTGGGACTCGAACCCAGTATCGGACCCAGTATCGAATCAAAGTAGTGTTTCACTTGGTATTGTTTGGCTTGTATCTTCCCAACGAATCATTCATCTAAGTTACAAATCATCACTACTATTTTGTATATATACATATGTACTTGTTCTTATTTTATTTAACAGGGATCAAAAGTTACGTTATCATTATCCATTACGTTCTACAATATTTCATTCAAATACAATGAAATTAATGAATATCAAAAAATTCACTAAAAGTTATGATTTAGAAAGTCATTTAACTTATTATGATACATTTCGTAAATTTCATAATGCACGTAAAAATTTACAATTTGGTGTATTTAGTGATACAGAATTATTAACTAGTAAATTTACAATTACATCTACGGATGATTCTGCTATTGATAGTTGTTGTGATGATGATGATGATGATGATAATGACGATGATGGTGAATTACATAGTTCTATAGATTCATTATATATTAAAAATTATTTCATCAAATCAAATAGAAAAAGAAATGATGTAATGACGAGTAATAATAATAACAATAATAATAATAATAGTTGCCATGGCAACAGTAATAATCAAGATACTAATCATAGTAACGGTAATAGATTGAAACGGATATCAACTATATCAAATACAAATGATCATAATAATGAGAAATATGATAATCATTCTAATGAACCATTGAATTCAATCAATATTGAAATGAAAAGATCAATAATTGAAAATACAAATAAAAATTACACTTCCATTGTATCTAATGAGAAACAGAAAAGTATTGAATGTAATAATACAATACAAGTAAGTGTATGATTGTGTTGTTTCATAGATTATAATAGATAATAATAATATTTGTATCATTTTAGTAATGTAATTGAATAGATTATGAGTGTTATTCCAATGGGGAAATAGTTTTATTTTACAGTAGACTGATTTTACAATCGTTTTATTTGATTGTTTGAAATTCATTACCTCTTTGATGATAGTACCCTAAACTTTGAGGTATTGCAGTTAGGGCATTAATCTATCCTGGTATGGTGGAGGGTGGGGAGAATCAACTCTCCCTCTACAAATGCTGTCAAGTGGCTACGTGAATACATTCACTGACAGGGAAGTCCTATTTGCTGCATTCTTGTAGCATAACTGTTGTTTACAAAATTGAGAAGACGAAAAGTGAATGTCCGGCGCTTTAACTGGGAGTTGGAAAACCCTGATTCCAAACCAATTGTACACATGAACTCCAGGATCCTGAAGGAACAAATGGCGTATTAACCTGTTGTTGATCATCGATCACCATGGAACTGCATCTTCAGACGTGGCTCCACTGCCTTGTGGATCAGACGTTTACGTCGAAGGATCTGGGTGTCACTGCCAAAGAAAATCACGTGTTTCAGTCTGGGCACCCGAGTTGTATCACAGCTCACACACAAATCAAGTAACTTATGTGGCGCATATGTATTCGGTGCCCTTTATACCAATATTCATGTGTTCAGATAAATAAATAAACAAATGGATCAAATTGGTTTGGGCAGTTAATTGGTGTCGTTGGGTTATACATTGACTCTATGACTTAAGGCTGACTGCATGGAAGCTACTGAATTATTGAAATATGGATTATTATTCTTTACTATCAAATGTTTTCGGTTAATGATTTAAGTTTATAATAAGTGAAAACGAACACTGCCCATTTTAGTTGATTTATTGATTGGGATTATTTTCTTCCCAGAATATTAATACGGAAAAGAGAATGATGTAGTTTAACACAAACATTCTCATTTCAAAGGAACGGAAAGATGATTAACTCTAGACATTCTCCTTGAGTGAATAGTATTCATTGAAATGACTATACAGTTTGCTATGTAAATTTTTCTGCATAGATACAGTTAAAATCGTCCTCTCTAACAACTATAGATAAACGCCATAGTGAGTGTGAAGTTATAATGATAACAAAACAATTAAAGTAATTAGTCCCTTTGATTCATATCGATAATGTAATAAGAAGATGAAGACCATCAGAACTATGTGATGATAAATTCGTTTGGAATTATTTACATGAATCTTCCCATTAATCTTTAGGACTGCAATTGATCAGTGTGTTATTGGCATATGTCCATACTGGGCGTATTGCCTCGATATTACCTTAACTCACAAGTAAAGATAGATAAAATTGAACAACATCAAATGAATTTAAGTGTAGAAAAAGGTTTTTGAGAAAAATAATGAATTACTATTCTGCGAACACAGTAATCATCCTATAATATCTCGTATAAGCCATCTAGTCCTCACACTATATAATACATTATAATCTCTACGTACTTACTTACTTACACCTGTTAGTCCTCGTAGAGGAACATAGGTCGCTCACCAGCATTTGCCATCCAACCCTGTCACGGGCAATCCTTTCCAACTCTTTCCAGTTCTTATTCATCATTTTCATATCTGATTCGATTTCCCGAAGTAATGTGTTCTTTGGCCTTCCTCCTTTCCGTTTCCCTTCAGGTTTCCAAGTTTGGGTTTGCCTCTTGATGCATTTTGATGATTTGCGTAATGTATGTCCTATCCATTCCCATCCTCTATTCCTAATATCCTCTTCAGCTTGAAGCTGATTTGTTCTCTCCCACAGTAGGCTGTTACTGATGGTATCCGGATTATAAGCTCTATACTTTAATATATCTGAATTCAACTATTTACTTTAAAAATTCAAACTACCACTATCGATAATCATTAGACTCTATTAACATTGAAAATCATGAAAAAATCTAATTTCAAAACCCAAACATAAACACACACTAATTCAAAATGATTCTCATTTTAATTTGCTTACTTACTTACTTACTTACTTACTTACTTACTTACTTACTTACTTACTTACTTACTTACACCTGTTACTCCGAACGGAGCATAGGCCATCAACCAATAATTCTCAACCCACTCTGTCACACTCTACCTTCCTTTCTAGTTCTATCCGATTGTTATTCATTCTTTTCAATATCTATATTCCATTTCTCGGCGTCATCTACTTTTTAGTCCTCGTCTTCTTCTCTATTAGCTCTGAAGATTCCAAATAAGGGTTATTATATAAATTATATAATCATTTTCATTGAAATCTAATTGAAATAAGGTATTATAATAATAATAGTAATAATAAACAAACCAAACAATGAATTGAATGTAAACAATCTGACAACTTCATTTAAGATTATTACACTGACTAATTTATATTGTTTATATTGTTCAATGTTATTATTATTATTATTATTATGATTGTTCTCCAAGGCAACGAACACGTAGTTGAAACAAGCAAACAAACAAACAAACAAACAAACAAACAGACAGACAAACAAACAAACAAACAAACAGACAGACAGACAGACAGACAAACAAACAAACAAACAAAACAATCAAGATGTTTGTTATCCAATTTATTTGGTTTAACTAATATACATAATAGAAAGTGGATATTGTATCTATGCCATTTTTATTTCATCTTCATCTTCTTTAGGTCAATTCATTTTGTTAATTCAAACTAGACCACCATGAAAAACTTGAAGATATTAAATGACTGTTTCGTCTTAATGTAAGACTTCTCAGCATTGCGTATCCATGATCAGGCACACGGGATTCGAACCTAGGACCTTCAGTCTCATTGAAGATAATGGTGAGGGATGGCGCAATATCATGGATTGGTTGAAGTTAGACATTAATACTTTTGGATGCCGGCTGACTCAATGTTCTAGAGACTAGGCGTTCATGCACGAAACCGAAGGTCTTGAGCCCGAATCCCGTGGGCAGGATCATGGATGCGCATCGCTAAGGAGTCCCATACTGGGATGAAATGGACGTCCAATGCTTTCAGGTTTTTCATAGTGATCTAGCCTTAATCGATTGATGAATTTAACTATGAAATTACTAGAACATCTCCACTAAACTTCTTTCTCATAATAAAATTTTAAAGATAATTTTCATTATACACTGATAATTGAGAGCTAAATATTGTTAAATATTGTATATTGACAACTTGATAAATGATAGAACTCAACGCTCTACACATTTTATAGTTAGGAAGAAACCAATAAGGAATTTAACAGCGTTAACATAAAACCATCAATATTAACTTTGATTACTCAGAAGAGAAAGAAAACTTGGCAAGACTCCAATAACAGCTTACCTTTATTTATAAATGTGGCTTTTTGTACAAAAATGGAGAGACTATAATTTATAGACGAACCAATTAGATATAAGATAATAGGTCACTGATTTTGGCGCGAAATTCACTCACCATTTGGATAAATAGAGTTTTGGCATTATTGTTGATGTCACTTCATGATGAAAATCCTAAATCTAATTCCTAACCTTAACCATCAACTGTAAATCATCATTCGAATTCTTCACACTGGTTTATAACGCTCATTTGGTCCTAGTTATCAGGTAGACTCTCTCAAGGTCAGTCTAGCGTCGCTTGATGGTCGTCTATAAATTATAGTCTCACCGAAAACGTTTTTTCCTATTAAATAAGCAATTAGGTTTCATTGTGTTGAAACTATTTCTTTGAAAATTATCGAAAACATTAAGGGTAATTAAAAGTCAACTAAATTTAAATAAGAAATTACTTAGTAAGTGATCTATGTGAATCACGTTTAACCTAAGAATGATTTTCATCATGAACAGGTCGCTGTCTGTATATTATTAAGATTTAATCAGGATAAGAAAATGAGACCACCATTGAGCGACGCTAAGGTGACTTTGAGAATGTACACCTACTGACTAGGGCTAAATGAGGGTTTTCAACCTGTGCGAAGGATAAGGATTGTGATTTATAGTTGATGGTTAAAGATAGTTATTAGATTCAGGGTTTTCATGAAGAACTGACATAAGCTAAAATACCAAGACGCTATTTAGCCAAATGGATGGATGAATTTCGCACCAAAATCTAAGACTTGTAATCGTAAATCTGATCAGTTCGTCCATAACTTATAGTCTCACTGATAAGACACTAGTCCCAAACGTAATACCTTAGAGCTACGATGTTTAAAGTATGTTTAATACACCAAACTTTATAACTTCTGTCAGTACATGATACAGAATCTTAACTAGAAGGCCTTAACTTAAAGAACCAACCAAATAAGGAAATAAGACAATAGTTCACTAATCATATATGAATTGAATCACAATGTCTCAAATTGAATGGATCAAACAATGAGATTATTTGGTTTGACATAATTCGTTTATCAAGTACAGGTTTGTATCTACAACTGTGGTATAATATATTATGGTCTAATGGCTGTTTAATGAGTCCAACCTGTTAAATGTAATTTCATCAGTACTAAGTATTAAATAAACATGACACCGAACAATAATCATTGGCTATTCATTTTAAATAAGAAGCTTAGAATAGGAAACCGAATAACACGGATTCGAACCCTAATGAGAATACCAGTTCACACAAGATTGTAGGTATTTCTTGATGATGAATCTCAACTAGCACGAATTCTAGACCTAAGATTTCTTACTGACTAACTCCAACCACTTATGATTTCATCAGACTAAATTTATAGTCATCCATAATAACTATATTAACCTTAGATAATACATAATAGACTATTCACTGTTTCAAACATGTTAGGAATTGAAATGGAATAGTCCGAAATTCTTATTTAATCAAAGCTTAAAAATTTTCTACTGTATACTGTCTAATAATAAGAGCTCTTTACTATCGTGTATCACTTATCTTTTCTTATGAATATATCTATACAGACATTGAAGAATATTAATCCACTGGAAGTAAACAATGTTTTAGAATGTAGAAAACATTCTTTGGATCCAAAATCCCTTAAAAATTCTCCTGAAATCTCAAGTGATTCCCAATGTAATCTCAAAGTTGTTGCTCCACCACCAGTGGTAATCTATCGGAGAAGATTTCAGAAGCTTCCATCGAAAAGAATATCAAAGTTTACTGATCGACAAGTAAGTAATATTTTCTTCTTTCTTAACAAAAAAATATATCATTCTCAAATTACAGATTATGTCATTGTTATAACTTGTGCCCTGTGTCCTATTAATGTATAACGTAATGATATCGCCAATTAGAGAACAGTGATTTATCGATCGGACGAATTAAGCATAAGACACATGCGAACAGCCTAGAGTCTTTATCGATCCTGCTTCCCGCCTAGCCCTGCCCCTTAAGTCCAGAACACCGATCTCAGCCTCTGCAATATGAATTATGTATTTCAAACATACTCGGTTTATATACCAACCAAACAGACTACATCATACCATAAAATAGGAAACAACATTTGTACAAGATTTAGCCAAATGTGGTTGTGAATGTGGGAGATAATAATTGATAGACCAGGTATAACTCAAGAATGGTAAATCGTATAATAATAGTTCATAGATCTAAATAAAGCTCATAATAAGAGGGAAGTGAATGTGAACAGTTTAGTTATTTACCGATTATACGACAAAAATATACGTATACTATTGGTCCACAAATAGATCCCAAAAGTTACCATTCATTATACTCATCAGGATATAACAGTAATGAAGTTAGTTGTGGTAATTTTTTGAAATGTTTCGATAAAAAGCCATACGACAAATGTGTGATTTCTTAATAGTTTATGGATAATGAACAAACACCATGATTGTGAATGAAAAGTTTCTTTTCAAAGAAGTGATGTTATCCAATTAAAGGTTCTTCAAACGAAACACTTAGAACAATTTATTACAGTTTTTAATTCTAGTAATGGTGTAGACTTATGGTCTACTACGTTATTAGTACCACTCTGATAATAGACTTAATCCTAAAATTGTATATTTGTCATGATGTAACTACCTAATCTATAAGATCTTACGTGGATGTCACATCATTATCTACCCTGACTCATTCGTATTGTATCCAATCATCAATATATGATGAAGAACACATTTCGATTGGAGATAGAACAATATATTTAATATAGATAAAAGACTGTTACATAAGTAGGACTACGCCTGCAAGGTTGAGCCACGCCATACGGCCAATTCGAACTAATTCTATTCATTCTTCCCGCTTTTTCCATAGTTGGACTTTTTACGCGTCAAATGTTGAATATCTGTTTCTCCAATTATCTTGTGTTCAGCTTTGAGGATTGTGTGATTAAGACCCGATGTCACTACAGTGAGATAAATAAAGTTCTTCACTTATCATAAATAACATTACGTAAACGGGTATACAAAATAGTAATAAATGCAGAATCAGATCTTCAGTTGCTTACTAAATAGTTCACGTATGAATCAAGCATGGAATTAAGGAAACTCTTGACCTACCTCGACTATTTCCAACTGTCATCTTATCTCAATATGGTGCATGCAATGTTGAGTCACGTAGATTAGTAGACATATTGTAACCTAATCGAAAAGATTCGATCCTCACTAAGAACGACCTAACATACATGACCTAGTGATTAATCAATTGTAAAAAATAATATCATTAATAAATACAATAAAGAATCCTCAACAGAAAATAAACACAGCTACAAAAACATTCTTATTTCATGAGTATTCAACTTGAGAATATTGAAATATAATGTGTAAAACATTTAAATCACTGTAACAGTTGTGATCAACCTAGTGTGGGAGAGAACAAACCAGATCCCGGTGGAGGAAGAAATCAGGAAGAAGCGCTGGAAGTGGATAGGACACAGATTGAGGAAAGCACACAACTGCGCCACAAGACAAGCCCTCACATGGAATCCTCAAGGCCAAATGAGAAGTAGGGGGAGAGAAAGGCCAAAGAACACATTACGCCGAGAAATGGAAATAGACATGAGAAAAATGAACAGGAATTGGATGGAACTAGAAAAGAAGGCCCAGGACAGAGTGTATTGGAGAACACTGGTCTGTGGCCTATGCTCCATTAGGGTTAACAGGCGTTAGTAACAGTTGTGATGATGTCATTCAGAAGAACGATGAAAGGTCAATGATCAAACTATCCAGCTCAAAGAACAAAACTTCATCAAATGTAACAGATATCATTCATTCTCATTCATAATTATTTGTGATCAGTCTTACTCTCATGATATCCATTACCATTTTGCTTGATATATTTAGTGTACAATCTCTACAGTAATTGTCTCTCGTATTTTTCAAAGAACAAAAGGGAAGGAAAAAACACGAACTCTTAGGATGATACTTTTTGAGTTTCTCAATTCATTAGATTGTAAACTTCTTGTGAAAGCGCGTAATTACATGTAATTGACAGAAATATCTAGTTATGAATGGTATTAAATTCGTGCTTGGAAAAAAAATGGTAACCTAAGTGTTTGAGCTGGTCATTATGATCATGAAATGGTTTCATTTGACAAGCCTAAATAAAGGAAGTAATATTCGATATCTATTTTATAATTCCCCAGTACTTTACATTTATAACCATTTCATGAAGATAACTGAAAACTTTGTTATCATATAGACTTGATCATTTTCAACTACAAAAAATCAGCTATCTCAGTAATAATTAACATTCAGTTATCTTTCCATTGTCAAAAAACGTAAACATGAAACGAGTTTTTAAGTAAAGATGGATAGTGGCTAACATGACTCACTAGCCAAGTGAACAACGTGATGGAGTTTGAAGCGAACTGAGTTCGAGGCTCAAGATGAACATCAACTCTGAGATGCAGGTATATCCAGCTAACGAGTCCCAAATAGAACGAAACGCCCGTAAAACCGAATTCCACTGCTAGGCACTATCTATCTTTGCTTAAAAAAGCTTGTGACTTAAAGCTATATCTAGGCAGTCTGCACAGTATGCACAAATGCCAATAACAGACTGATCATTTGCAGTCCTGAACATCAATGGGAAGATACAAATAAAACATCATCAAGTGAATGAAACAACTTGGTAATAATATTTCTTTCTCTAACCCAACCCCCCCAGGCCCCAACTTCACACAATAATGTTATTGTTTTTCCTGTTTATCGCATTACGGCTTACATATTTTTGCTATAAATATATGGTAAAAACAGTAAACTGCAACCAAATATTACGTATTTACTTACTTATTTACTCCTGTTATCCCTTATATCGAAGCATAGGCTGCCTACCTACATTCCTCATCCAAATCTCCCCTTCACTCCAACCAAACATAACCAACTTTTTTCAATGAAACATTTGCTGCTCTACACATGATTACAGATTTTTTTCTATTTTAAAATCTATTTGTTCTCAAATATTGAAGCAAAAATATTTATGAATATATTTGTGGATTGGTTGAAGTTGGACATTAACACCGTTAGATGCCGGTTGGCTTAGTGGTCTAGAGGTTAAGCGTTCGCGCGCGAGACTGATAGGACCTGGGTTCGAACCTCGCTAGGCAGGATCATGAGTTCGCAGTGCTGAAGAGTTTCGTACCAAGACGAAACTACCATCCAATGCTTCCACATTTTCCATGGTGGTCTATCTTCAATTGACTCATGATCTCAACTATTAGAATTACTATAATATTCACAAAAACCCCTTCTGATAATCATCATCCTATGATCACTAGTGACTGGTTTCAAGACGTATATTCTGGAGTTCCGGTGAGAAACGTGGACCAATGCAGTTCAACCAGGTTTATTGTAAGATAATAACTCACTGATGACAATGATGAATGCGTCGCCTAATTTCGTGAATAAATTGAAGTTAGATATTAACACCGTTGGATGCCGGCCTGCTCAGTGATCTACTTTTCAAGCGCTCGCACGCAAGACTGATAGATCCTGTTTTCGCATCTCGGTAGGCAGGATCGTGATTGCGCACTACTGAGGAGTCACATACTAAGACGAAACTGCTCTCCACGTTTTCCATGTTGGTCTAGCTTCAATTGACTCATGAATTCAATTACTGAATTCACTTCTCTTGTTATGCGGTAAAATGAATCATAAAAATAATGAATCCTGTTAGTACATCTTACATTAAAAAGAAACACAACCAATATGAAAGTTATATTTTGTTGTTTCACAATTGATTGATCACTGGGTGGTGATCAATGTCATGCTTGTCTAGTCCTTATTAATGCAGATCGAATGCTATCGATCATGTTGCAATGTGGCCACCAGTCTAGGTGACTCGACACTGCGGCCACTATGTATTGAGATAGCTCAGTGGTAACGTCTCTGACTGTGAAGCTGGGTGACACGAGATCGAATCCGCCAGGGAGCACCAGTTCCCTCAAGATTACAGGTACACCTTGCTGACGAGTGCCAAGTAGCACGAAACCCGGTTCCAGGGTTTCCTGTTGACTACCTCCAACCACCATCTAAATTTTGTTTGTTTGTTTTCCTGCTTGCATATGTATATTGTATGATTATCTTATGTTTTCGTTTCAATACAAGCTTTATTCACTTGATGTTACATTACTTATATCTTCCAATTGTTATTTAAGACTACGATGGATCAGTCTCTCTCGTTTTCATTCTCTTACTGACCTATGTATATATATCCTGTGTGCACACACACACACACACAGCCTTTGTAACCGTTTTGTATTCAATAGATGATTAAGCTGTAAAATTGTGTTTCATTTAAATTAACCAGAGAAATTGATCTACATCAATATGAATTATTATTTAAACCATATGGAATAAGGGATCATTTGAATTTAACCTACATGATAGTTGAATAGATGTTTTGTTTTCTGCCTTTTTTTCTCTTTTTTTCGATAACAACAACAACAATAACAATAAAAAAAAGAAAACTTTATTACATAATGTATCCAACATGGTAACAAATGCAGAATACCCCCTATAATAATGATAACTTTAAGCCGCCAATTTTCAATTTGTTGTTGTTGTTTTCTTCCGGATATAATTAGTGCAATAGTTGTTCGTTGGACTAGTCTTTGTTGTTTTAGACTTTCGTAGGTCTTCTATAATTATATACAATAAAAATGAATTATGTACTTATATAAGGGTACGTTAGAGGAGGTGGGGTTGAATGCGTGATTGTTTTCTGTTCAAAACAGTTCTATATTTTAAACTTTATAGGACTAATAAAAGTTGAAAACTACTGAGATAGTTATTTTATTGTTGTTTACAGATTCTTTGTAGTATAAAATTATAATTAGATGTTAGGCATTCATGAGCGAGACTGAAAGCCCTGGGTTTAAATCCCACGAGATGGATAGTGGATGAGCACTGCTGAAGAAACGACCGTCTAGTGTTTTCGTGTTTCCAATGGTAGTCTGATATCGATCGATTTATGATGTCAATCAAAAACTTATTAATCTCCACAACCCTTTACTGAAAAGTAGAATAATATAAAAGGTAGTTTGACGTAAGGGCGAGGATTGGTAAGGCAAGGGCCGCATTCCTAAAATTGAACAACATACGGAACTCAAAACAATTGTTTTCAAACCAATATCAAAGTTACAATCTTCAATACGAACGTCAAGACAGCTCTACTGTACAAAGCTGAAACTTGAACAACTACTACAACCATCATCGAGAAGGTACAAGTATTTATAAATAATTGTCTACTTAAGATACCCAATGTCTGTTAGCCCGATGCAAACACCAACAACCTACTGTGAGAGAGAACAAACCAGCTTCCAGCTGAAGAGGATATCAGAAAAAGACGATGGAAATGGATAGGACATACATTATGGAAATCACCAAACTGCATCCCGAGGCAATCATTAACTTGTAGTCGTGAAACGAAGCAGAAAAGCGGAAGGTCAAAGAACACATTACGTTGGGAAATAGAAGCAGATGTGAAAAGGATGAATAAGGACTGGAGAGATTTGGAAAGGATTGCCCATGATAGGGTTGGATGGAGAATGTTAATGAACGACCTATGCTCCTCGATGAAGAGTAACAAGCGTAAGTAAGTAAGTTAGACTTTTCATTCAACTTTTACATCCATCTAACACCATCACTGTTTTCTTTTGAAATTTTTTTCTTAGAAATCTGCTAATTGTAAAAATTTGGAAGAAATAAAGTCCTCTGTAAATAAGACTGAAAATACAATGAACACTGCTCTAACTGTTGATAATCAATTACAGACAGAAATGAAACATTCAAAGATAACTTTATCTAGTGAGAATAGTCATAGTGATAATTCACAAATGATTAAAGTAACCTCTCAGTCCAATATATCTACTTGTGATTTAATCTCACTGGAACAAAATAAACTTTCTTTTCAAAATGTTACAACCGTGAAACAATCCCAAATTGGCAAACTTGGAAATAATCGTTCCATGAAATCATTACAGAGACCGAAACACTCATCAAATAATAAAACATCGTCATCATCATCATCATTAATATCTATTTCACAGAATTCAAAAATAAGACTACCTCAATATGACGGTACTACAACAAGTCTGCCAGTATCACCGATCATATCTTCTTGTTCTAATGAAATGAAACATTTTGTAAATGATAAACCTATTCCTAACTATTCTCATTGTATAACATCGTCTATGATATTGAAACCAACAACAAATCATATCAATCAATCTTGTATTTCTAACACATTGAATTCCTCTGAAATTCATCGTCTAAGAACTATATCACATAGTCCAATGAAATCTCTTTCCAATACAACATCAAACAATCAAAAAGTTTTTAAAACAAACTTTATTCCATCATCATCATCTCCTTCTTCTTCTTCTTCTTCTTCTCAAAATCATCTCCAACATCACCAATTTTATCATTAAATACTAACATTTCTAATATCATATCTAATGAAAATTGTAGTTTACAATCATCAATGGTTGATAGTAAAACTATGTTCCCTGAAAAGATTCCAAAGATTCCTCTTCCTACTACTACTCCTTCTTCTTCTTCTTCTCCTTCAAATACCACAACTATGATAGATTCATCTTTGAAAAAGTTCAGTAAAATTATTAATAAACCTAAAGTTCATTCAGAGAAATTAAATAGACGTACAATTTATAATAATCAAATGACAGAATATAATAAACTTACTCCTTTATTATCTATACCACCACCTATACCACCACGTACTACATCAAGATCACAATCAAATCAAGGAAAAATGATAATACTAAAGTCGAAATGTCTTAGTGTTCATAATAGTCCTTATATGTCTAATCTAAATGAAGTGGATAGTCTTAAAGATACAAGTAGTTGTTATCATAATTACTCTTTAAAACTTCATTCATCACCTATAAATCATGGTAAATTCAATATGAATCAATCACAAAGTGATTCTTTGAATGAACTAAACAACGTAAGTAATAATAATAATAGGAAATTATCATCTTTATCTTCACAATGGAAACGTCCAATTCAATCTAAAATAGCTACAGCTGTTGAAACACTTTATAAACGTCCTATAGAACATTCAAGTATTTCAACAACATCAATATCATCATCATCACCATCATCATCTTCAGGGATTATTTTCACAACTCCTCATGATGATCATCATTTAACTGATTCATCAAAATATATTACTAATAAAAAATGTCATAAACAGTATAACAGTAAACAGAATATAAAGGATATGAATAATGAACAAATAGAGCATAAATTAATATATCCAACAAATTATTATAATCATACAATAGATAATACAGATTTTCATGCTCAATTAAATACAACTACTACAATAACAACATCAATAACACCAATAAATGAGAATAAATTAATTGAAACTTCATATCCACATCAACAATGTGCATTACATTTACAAAAATATTCTCATTCTTATCTTCCACAACATCACCATCATCATCATCATCACCACCACCAGCAGCAGCAGCACACCACCACCACCACCAGCAACAACAACAACAACCATTGTATCATTCTCAACATTCACAACTGTTCCAACCAAATTTACATTATCATCATCATCATCAGCAGCAGCAGCAGCAACATCAGCAGCAGCAGCATACAGTCAATGATAATCCCACTAGTCATAATATAACAATATCTGATCCATTCATTTATACTAAACATCCATCATCAATTTATACAATAAACAAATTATTAAATAATAAAATAAATTAAAACAAAAAAAAACCAATGACACTATTCAATCATCATGTCAATATAAACTAATGTCATGTACAGTGTTATGAGTGTATCATTTAGTTGGATAATAAAGAGTAGGGATGCGGGGGGGGGGCTAGGGTAATGTACACAATACACATAGGTGATATTATGAAGAAAGAGAAGAAGAAGGAGAAGAAGAAGAAAAGGAACAGGATGACACTACTTATGTTTATTTGTTCGTTTGTTTTTTCATCTTACCTATTATGATCATTTCAATAAAAGAATCAATGAATAGTAGGTACTATACTACTAAATGATTACTGTACAGTTATATAGTAATGGATTAATGTTTATTAATTTATATTTCTTTTCATAATGTATAATCTAATGTATGATTTTGAGATAGGAGAGAAGATTTATACCTCAGGTGAATGATTTTGATGAAGTTTTGTTCTTTTTCTATTGAATTAGATCATAGTTCTATGATCAAACTATCTAGCTCAAAGTACAAAATGGATGTATGATTAATGAACATAATAATACTAATAATAATAATGTATAATGTAAACATTAATGTTATGACTTTTTGTATCCGACTTTTTATCAAGTGATTTATCCACCAATCAATCTTAGTACTGTGCCAAACCAATGATGTTCGACTGGTATAAGCAGACTTGCGTCCTTATTGGTCCTATGTCCGCTTAGCCAGTCCACTTGAGTCCAGAACACCAATACCAGCTTCCAGTATGCGAATCGAATAATTTATGTCGGACATACTGGGTTTAAATATCAAACAAACAGACCGCAACGCACCGTAAAATAGGAAATAACATTTGTACACAATAAAGCCAAGAAGTGACTGTGAACATGGGAGGCAGTAGTTAATAAACTGAACCTAACTTAAGAACCGTAAATCGTACAATAATAATCTGTAGGTCAAAATAAAGCTTATAATAAGAGGAATATAAATATACATAATCTAATTATTGAATAGTTATGCCATAAGAATATAAAGATAATATTAGTCCATTAATAAGTCTCAGACGTTACTCGTAATGTAATCTTCACTAGGATATAACAATTAAATAAACACAAATTAAACCTGTTCAATAAATTCACTTTGTATTGTTTTAATTGTATCTTCTTATGGTTGTTTTAGGACTGCAATTGTTCAGCCTTTCTCTTGTTGGCATATGTTCATACTGTGCATATTGCCTCGACATTGCCTTAATTTACAAGCATTGTTATAGTATTGAATTTTAAAAGAAAGTTCAATAGAGCCATTCGTATGACAAACTAAATTAAGCTTGAAGTAGAAAATAATGACATATTTCTCATAATATTTTTTCGCTTAAAACACTTTCCAATGATTTTCAAGATCCATAGAATTCTCTTACACTTGCGTCTTAAACGGTAGAGAAAAGGTGAGATGATCAGAAGTTTTGTTTTAACATTGATTAATGTATGGAAAATAAGACAATTTACAAGTTGACTGGTAACTCCAACATTCTGGAAATTTCTGGAAGAGTGCTAGATTTCGTAACAGAGTAGTCTGACAGAGTTACTGTCAGTCTTAAGCCTCATTAAAAGAAGAGAGTTTGGCACGGGGTCAGTAACCCGTCCTGTAGAAAACAATCTTCCTAAAAATACTCTAAACTTGATAACACCTCAATGATTACATAATATATTCACACAATGTTATTACTGTCACCTCGATTAACGGGACGAAATCCTCCCACTATGCATGTCAATCACACGATTCACTGTATTACTATTATGTATGATTATGACTTGACACACTTTACTCCAAACAATTCTGATCTTTATTAGATGATCTCTCTAATTTACAAATAACACAATTTTCAAATATGAATGTTATAACCGATGCAACTGTTCACCAATTTCAACAAATAATCCTGTCAAGTTCAGTAATGTGTGGCTTATTTTAGTCATTGTAGAATATCATAATCATTATGGAGTTAGAACTGAAGAGCCTAATGAAACAGTTGTTCATTCTCAAATATTCTTTATCTTAAAAAAGAAAACACTGATCTCCCGAATTATTCAATATAACTCTTGTTACTTAATTGACTTAGGCACTAGTTAGTAAATACCTCCTGCATCTATATTCTTTACGCGTTTATAACTTCTAAAACTTTAGGTAATAATTACTGAATATCTAATTTCAATCGTAGTTGAAATTATTTTTCGCTATCTATTGAGAACTACTTGTAAGTAGTTTCATAAATCTCAAGAAAATCTTTAATGCCATGGCTGTTTCTGTTTCAAAATCATATGAGTGTAGTACGCTTCTCGTTCGACACTATGGAGTTCCTCAGAAGATTGTCAACATTGTCCGGAACTCACCAGACGGACTACAGTGCGAAGTCGTGCATGGAGGACAGCCGACAGATGCATTCCAAGTAAGGACTGGAGTCAGACAAAGCTGTCTACTCTCCACCTTCCTCTTTCTTCTGCTGGTCGACTGGACTATGAAGACCTCGACATCCGAAAGAAAATACTTAATACAATGGACAGAACAGAACCAATTGGAAAATTTGGGCTTCTCAGATGACCTAGCCCTATTATCGCATACACATGAACAAATTCAGATGAAGTCAACTCGTGTAGCAGCAGTCTCTGCATCAGTAGATCTCAGTATACACAAGGGGAAAACCAAGGTCCTCAAATACAACACGGAGAACACCAACCCAATCACACTTGATGGTGAAGTTCTGGAAGAGGCAGAATCTTTCACGCACTTGGGATGCATCATCGATGAACAAGGAGGTTCAGATGCAGACATAAAGGTGAGGATTGGAAAAGCAAGAGCCGCATCTCTACAATTAAATAACATATGGAACTCAAAACAGCTGTCTTCAAATCAACATCAAAGTCACAATCTTCAATACGAACGTCCAGACAATTCTACTGTACAGTGATGAAGCATAGAGAACCATTATAATTATCGTCAAGAAGGTACAAGTATTTATAAATGGTTGTGTACACAAGATACTCAACATCCATTTGATGCCTCTTTTACACTAATACTTATGTGTTTAAATAAATATATAATTAAGATTATTCCATCTAAATTTACTAGATAACCTAAATGTTCCAAATAATCGATCAGTTGGCTACTCGTACCAAATTTGAAATCCTTAGTGTTTAAGCGATCGGATCTCATGCATTTTGCTCTTTGAACAATAATAACCAAGTATTACAACAGCGATGACGTAATACAGTGAATTTATATTGTTCATCTGATCCTCTCGGTTTTTGAATAATCAAGTCTAAATTAATTGAGTTTAGCATCATATATCATTCATCTTTAGAACTATATTTATGAATCAAAACTTTCAATTGATATTGCAAGATATTCTACACAAAAGACACTTACCTTCGGTACATTGATTGATTATATTAAGCTGAATAAAACCAAGTAAATTACATTTTATGATAGTTCATCCGTTCATAATTGATTGATTACAAAACAATAGAATTCTATTTATTGTATCAATGCCTTGAAGTCAAATCTAACTTTCTTGATTAGGACTAGCCGGTTCAAATCTCTACCGTACATATAATGAGTATAGATTAGGTGTTTGCTCATTAAACGTCACTTGATTACTTAGATGAATTCAGTAAACTTAATACCTTGAGACTGAATATAAACAAGTATCACACAGTCTAACTGCTTATTGAAGCATAATATAGATAGTTTGGAGAAGTTTGCAGAAGTCTCATGATATAGATTACGAGCTAGAAGGTACTCGTCACTAGATTGTACCTCCAGTTTTGCAGAAAATGATAATCCTATTGATATTGGAGTCTGCATTACCCAACTTTACATTCCAACACGTTACTACTGAGCTTCTCGGACTTCGATTGACTTCTTTCCCTGTTTTACTAACCACTGATTTTGTTAATATCTTGTTCGTAATCAATATGAAAGTCGTCACACTTCATTAGAATAAATTCAAGTCCATTTAACTTAAATAAATATATGACATGCAATAATTCAAAATACACTGTTTGGTATACGTCATTCATTCAGACAGCTTCGATATTCACTCTAATTATGGGGAATAATGATTCCACATGGGTTCGAATGTGTAACTTAGTATTTGAAAGTCAAATGCCTTAAGCATTGAACCATCATACCGAACAATCGAAAATTTTTGGACAATAAATAGCTGGATTTTTCCCCTTGTTAAGAACCCCTAAGTAATATACAACTATGATAATGCTAGGGCTTGACAATCGGGATATTTAGAAGGTTAAGTGGGAAATTCAGATATTTCATATTAACAAATTCAGTTAATTAAAAAATACACTTGAAAATACGATTGACAATCATTGATAACACTGAAGAGCTTTTTCATCTTAGTTTGAAAGAGTTTAATGATGAACATCTATCACTTCCACATGAGATTTATCCACAAGAAAGATGTTCAAACAGAATCTCTGCAAACTTATGGAAATTTATGAAACCGAGACACCATTTAACTATGTGCTGTGTAAATTAGAAAAATGATGATCGATTGTTTACCTAGTCAGACCAGTAGATAATCTGACAGATATTAGATGTGTTATATATTTACTTACTCCTATTATTATTGTTATTGTTGGTGTGGAAATATTCTCACGTTACAGTCAGATCAGTCACTGGTTCTTCATTCGAGATATGTTGAAGTCCTGTAAAATAGGAACTAACAAGGTAACTTAACGTTCTATTTGTGTAGGTAGAAAATTGCCACCAAATGACCTGGCCAAAGGTGGAGAGAGTCCACTCTCCACCCCGAAATGCTCTCACATGACCACGCGTATATAGCCTCTGTCAGCGAAGTCCTACTCACTGCCTTCTCAAGGCGGGGGTGTTGTTTACGAAATAAGGAGGACAAAAAGTTAGTGTTCGGCGCTTTAACCGGGTTGATGGTTATGATGGATACACTTAGGGGAGTTGGGAAACCTCGATTCCAAACAAAGGTTGCACATGAGCTTCAGTATCCTGAGGAACAAATGGCGTATGAACCAATCGTTTGTCACCGGCTACCATGGGACTGAATTTTTCTGACGTTGCTCCACTGCCTTATGGATCAGACCTTTAGGTCAAAGGCCCCGAGTGTAGCCCCCCTAAGAAAAACACGTGGTTCGGTCTGGACAATCGGACAGTATCAGAGCTCACATACAAATCAAGTGCCTTGTGTGGCGCACATGTATTCGATGCCCGTTTGTACCAATATTTAAATGTTCAAATAAATAAATAAGGAGAAAACCGAGTGTTATTGCATTACGTAAGCATAAATATTGTCAAATAAATAATATCAGAAGGGGTTTTTACAGATATTATAGTAATTTCAATAGTTGAGATCATAAGCTAATTGAAGCCAGAACACCATAAAAAACCTGCAAGCACTGGACGGCCATTTCGCCCTATTGTGAGATATATCGCTCAATTTGATGGATTAGTTAGATAATAACACCATTGGATGATGGCCGGCTCAGTGGTTTCAAGGTTAAGCGTTCGAGGGTGAGACTGATAAGTCTTTGGGTTCGAATCTCGCGAGACGAGATCGTGAATGCACACACACAATTGAAGAGTCCCATACTATGACAAAACGGTTATCCAGATTTTCTATGGTTGTCTAGCTTCAATTAACTCATAATCTCAATTATTGAAAATCAATAATAAAACACCTTGCACTATAATTATCCTCATTTTATTGACAAATATGATAATATTTCAATTAGATTTAACTTTGAATGGTATAATCGTTTCTTTGTTGTTGTTGTTGCTGTCGTCGTCATCATTGTTGTTTTTGTTGTTATATGACATAACAGAAATATAAGAAAGTTGGTTCATCATTAAAAAGTAAAGGAAACAAAAAAACAAAAGAGAAAAGAAAAAAGAAAGAAAATAATAGAGAAAGGATTAAAATAAAATTATTTACAAAATTCTCATCATTATTCTTTTTTTTGTTTTTTTTTCATCAATCGATGAACACTTTGTCTTCTGATGTATTTTGTATTGATTAGATATAATTGTTACTATAATGGTTACTGAAATAATAATAATAATAAAGCTGTAAAGATTTGATCATAAAGACAATGGAAATTATTCATCATAATTGATTATTATTATTATTATTATCATTTCATGGATCGATCGATCGATCGATTGATTGATTGATTGATTGACTGATTGGTCGATTGATCGATTGATTTTAAAATGCATCAAACAAAAGATACAAACAAGAATTGATTTGATTCAAATTAATTGATTGATCGATCGATCGATTGATTGGTTGATTGATTAATTGATTGATTATATAATTGTGTATTGATTAATTACAATAAATTAAAATGAATAAATTTAATCCACTCGGGAATAGTTTGACACAAAACAAACAAACAAACAAAAAAGGTTTCAATAATTCATCACATACAAAATGAATTTGGTTTTTATTGAAGAAGATTTGATTGATTTCAAAGTAGAGGAAGAAAGCAACAGTGATACATCTGATTATGATTATTAGTATTATTATTATTATTAAAAGTACATCTATAAGCGTTTGTATGAGCGCACACATATATATATATATACATACATACGTACGTACATAGGTAGAATAGAGGTTTATGAAAGATGACCAATGATGGTTTTGTATAACTCTCTCTATATATATACCTGTTTTCGGAACTGCCTGAATTTCTTCGCTTATGTTTCTCATCACAGGTTAAAGGTTGAATATTAAAAGTAGAATCTATGTGAAAAACAAACAAACAAACAAACAAAAAAAGTACTATAAACTTGTCTAATGAAGTTTCAAATGATTCAAAAGATCTATTCACTGTGATGAATGCTCTCAGTCATTGTTTTCTCTTAGTAAGATAATTTCAATCAGTGAGTTACAATGTAAGATCAGGCATATATATATATATATGTATTGTTTCAAATTGCCATACCGCCTTAGTATAATCATAGGAAAATACCGTTGTTAGCGGGAAATAGACCGGATTAAAGTATGCTCAATGCATGATTGCTTTGGTGCATGCTGATTGGCTAATTCTTAACCAATCAGCACTAGTCGATAGTTGGAGAATACTCTAGAAATCTTCTCATGTAAAAAACTATAAATATACTAACATTCTTCCAATTGTGCTTCGTACTTCCATCTAATCTTATTATTTGGAATATAGTCTCATTCCTGTTCAACCGTGTTCTGATTTGGGGACTTGTCGAGTGAATCGGTGTCCAAGAATACTAAGCTATAGGAATAGCTGGGTTATAAACCGTAAGAGAGAAATATAACAACATTGTATACAAGGATATAGTACAGGAAGAAAAACTTAGTTCATGGAAACATTTCAATCAATTTTAATCTCATAGTTTAGAAGAGGACAAACAGTGTGTATACACCTAAATCATTGTGATCGATTATGAGTCATGTTACCCAACATTAAGGAATCCTTATAAATTCACTTACAGTTTAATAAATAAATAATTTACTTTAACATGAGAATGTAATAGAAGATTGTTTGCATTTTGAATGTATCTTAATCCATTGGTTAAAATGAGTCAGAATGTACTGAACATTTCTATCTTTCTAAGATTAGACTATACAGTAATATGTATCCATAGTAATAATAATAATTCTGATAGTTTTATAAAAATTTTCACTAAATGATCTGATGGTATTTTGTTTAAATGAGATAACAAAGTTCAAGATTCAATCTTATTCAAGTTCATCAATCCTTACTGTTAATTTCTTTAAATGTATGAGTACAAAGTTTTACGTTATCTTATGTTTATTTTTGAAACATCATCGATGAACAAGGAGGTTCAGATGCAGACATAAAGGTGAGGATTGGAAAAGCAAGAGCCGCATTTCTACAATTAAAGAACATATGGAACTCAAAACAGCTGTCTTCAAATGAACATTAAAGTCACAATCTTCAATACGAACGTCAAGACAATTCTACTGTACAGTGATGAAACATGGAGAACCATTATAATTATCGTCAGGAAAGTACAAGTATTTAAAAATAGTTGTGTACACAAGATACTCAACATCCATTGACAGTATATTAACACCAACAAACTACTGTAGGAGAGAACAAACCAGCCTCCAGCTGAAGAGGATATCAGGCAA